CCTCCCTCTCCCCCTCCCCCCTTTTCTTTCTTGACAGGTTCTCACTCTGCCACCCAGGCTGGAGCACAGTGGTGCAATCATGACTCACTGCAGCCTCGAATTTCTGGGTTCCTGCGATCCTTACGTCTCAGTCTCCCAAGTAGCTGGGACTACAGGTGCAGGCCACCATCTGTAGCTACTTTTTGTTTTTTAATATATGATTTATAGAGGTAAGGCCTCACTCTACAAGCCCAGGCTGGTCTTGAAGTCTTGGCCTCAAGTGATCCTCCTGCCTTGGCTTGCTAAAACGCTGGAATTACAAGCGTGAGCCACCATGCCTGGCCGAAATCCTTTTTTCATAGAAGCACGCAGAAGATCTGTTACAAAAATAGCATGATTGGCTGCAACTCCCTGTATTATCTAGAAGAGGGGACAGGCTGGGAGAGCCCGTGCAGAGTGCAGAAAAGATGCTAAACCTGAGCCGTGGGTTGGAGTATGGTCGCTGGCTTTTCCTGGTGCTGTGAGCTTGGGCAAATCGTTAAATATCAGTGAGCCCCTGTGTCTTCATTTGCCAAGTGGGGACAGTAACAGTCTTCCAGGGTTGTTGTGATGAAACCCTCAACATGTACACACCACGTAGTCCCTGGGTATAGGAGGACTGTCAGGACTCTCCAGCACACCCACTGGATTGGAAACATGGAGTACTGAATGAATTGGGGTTATTAATTCCTGCAGGAATGCATACACAGGGAACTGTGGGGGCACCTATGTAAGAGGTGTCACAATTTACTATGGGCTTGTGTTATGATGGTAGTCAGGCAGTGGGAGTAATCCTTTGATCATTACATCTTAATATATCTTATTTGGGAGGAGTCAAGGCCGGGCACAGTGTCTGTCAACTCAGCACTTTGGGAGGCTGAGGTGGGAGGATCGCTTGAGACCAGAAGTTGGAGACAATCCTGAACCACATATCAAGACTCCATCTTACAGAAAACGAACAACAAAATAGAGGGAGTCAAGACTAGATAGAGGCTAAAGCCATAATTGATAAAGAAGCTTCAGTCACACATATTTGTCACTTTTGTGGTTTACACAATGATTACGTTTTGTTTGTGTTCAGACGAGATTGTGGAGTGGTTTTGATCTTGTCTTGGTCATGGTTACAGATTAGCCTTGTCTCATGGTGGCATTCTGTGAAATTATTATTATTTTTTTCCACAGAACACTATGGTCCAGAAAAGCTCTCAGCAATACCAAGGCCCAGCTGATGGTTCCAGGGCATCACCTGGGAGTCAGAGCTGTATTCTCTTCCTCGGTACCCAGTAACTGATAGTCATGTCATGAAATGACGAGTCAAAAGCCTTAGGTTTGAATTCTGTTGGTGACTTAGTCTTTTGTAACCTGGGACTTGACACTTAACTTACTTTTTGGCTTCTTCAAATGAGCATTTATGAAGCACTTATTCTGACATTCAAACAGTGAGACATGAAACGTTGGAAAGAAGGTCTACAAAAATGAATAGGATACAATATGATAGAAGACAGTATTTTTTATTTTTTTTTTTGAGTTGGAGTCTCATTCCATCACCCAGGCTGGAGTGCAGTGGCACGCTCACGGCCATCCCAGTGTCGACCTGCTGGACTCCAGCGATCCTTCCAAGCAGCCGAAACTACAGGCGCATGCTACTACGCCCAGCTAATTTTTGATTTATTGTAGAGACGAGGTCTAGTCAAGTTGCCTGGGCTGGTTTCGAACCCAGTGGACTCAGGCAATCCACTCCCAAAGTGCTGGGATTACCGGCTGAGTCACTGAGCCTGGCTAACAGATAATATTTTAAATTGCAATACTCTGTGCTAAGTATTATATTAGAGGCACATTCAAAGTGGGATGGGTCAATGACAGCAGGTGACTATAACCAGAAAAAGTTGTTCTGAACAGGAGAGATAGAGACCAGACAGGACAGAGACCCACAGAAGCACAGGGAAGAATAAACAAAGTAATCTATGCAAAAGTGCTTTTGACAGTTGTAAAGCACTATATAGTCTTAGCTGTTATTGCTAAACTAACATTTATTTTTGTGCAAGCTGAATCTACTTTCTAAATATTTTGGCTGGCCTACACTCTCTTGTTAACTGTTGTAACTAAAATGGAATAAAATGACCACTTGGCTTCTATAAAATCAAGAAGGTTAAGGTCATGCCTCAGATCTTACTATCTTAAAAAAGTCAAGGTTTCTTTCTCAGGCTGCATGTCCATCTTGGGTCACTGGGGAGGTTCACTCCCTAACATTTTCACACACAGATGGATGGAACTATCATCTGAATATTATTGCTGGCACCAGCACTGAGAGAAGGGAATAACGATGACTCTGACACCAGCAATGAAAGGCTGAAATGATGCAGAAATGATACAGGCCACTTCTGCTCACATTCGATTGGCCAAAACAAGTCACATGATCATGCAGAAAAGTGTAATCCTATCATGTGCTCAGGAGGAGGAAACAAAGATAGTGCTGATGAGTTCATTGTCTCCAGGTCATAAATTCTCATGAAAGCAAGCGGCATTTAGGTGTCCTTTCTTGTGGGGCAGAAAGAATTAGTATCCAATATACTTCCATGCCTTAAGTCCCTACTCTTCCACATGAAGAAAAAAGGCCTTATTAAGGGATTCTGCAGCCCATCTCCATGGTGACAATTGTTACGCAAGCCTTGTTTCTTTTTTTTAATACAATAGTAAGTGCTTGAGTATGCATTACATTAAAGAGGCCTGGCTGGACACGGTGGTTCATGCCTGTGATCCCAGCACTTTGGGAGGTCAAGTTGAAAGGATTGCTTGAGCCCAGTAATTCGAGAACCCCCTGGGTTACATAGGGAGACCTCGTTCTACCAAAAAAAAAATAAAAATAAAAATTTGCCATGTGCATGCCTGTAGTCCCATCTACTCAGGTGGTAGAGATGGAAGGATTGCCTGAACACAGCAGGTTGAGGCTGCAGTGAGCTGTGATCATGCCACTGCACTCCAACCTGGGCCATGCAGTGATATTCCAACTAAAAAAACAGAAAACAAACAAACAATTAAAGAGGGCTTCATCGACTATTAATTGGACTCTGTCACTGTACTGGGCACTGTGGATGAAATACAAGAAGTCAACAGACCATAGTTCACCATCATACAAATTACTTTTGTTTTTTGAGTCGGAGTCTCACTCTGTCACCCAGGCTGGAGTGCAGTGGCACGCTCAAAGCCACCGCAGCCTTGACCTGCTGGGCTCAGGCAATCCTTCCATTTCAGCCTTCCAAGTAGCGGGACTACAGGCGTGTGCCACCATGCCTGGCTGATTTTTTGATTTATTGTAGAGGTGAGGTTTCATCAAGTTGCCCAGGCTGGTCTCGAACCCGTGGGCTCAGGCAGTCCTCTCATCTCGGCCTCCCAAAGTGCTGGGATTATAGGCATGAAAAGATGGAAATATGTGAAGAAAAACAATTCCAGCAGCAAGCATGTGGAAATCATCCGAGGCTTGTCACTCATTTTCCCACAGCTACCACTGCTCCTGACAGCTCTCACTCAAGCCTTCTTCCC